ATACATTTCGGACAAACAATGTTTTTTTCTCAATATGTGTACTAGTGCGTTCTCATGTGCTCGTGTACTCGTGAAACTTCATCAGCCTCAGCTCTAGTATTGTTCCAGTTCACAAGAACGCTGGTCCCTGTCACTATTCATTCTGCTTATGCAGCTCATTTCCCATTGCGCATCCAGATATATATCTGGGTCGGCCTCAATTTTATTTTGTTAAAATGACGATTTCCCTCCCCCAAAACAGTAAACGTACTAAAATATATGTGTTAAAGGTTAATAATGCATTTCCTGAGAAAATAAATGCCTTAAAATCCTTTCTGTTTTATCACTCGTCTCTTCCCGACCTGCACCGGAAATGGGATCCTACGCTACTTCTGGTGGCTAACTTTTTCGGCTTTAGATTGAAACATAAATCTAGACTTTTTGAGTTTTATGTTTTCGATTCGTTTTAACCTTATGCTATATAGTGCGTAATCTAAAGAAAGAAACAACTAAAATGCAGATAAACATGTTTTATTCATATTTTGCCAGACTGCTCTGAGCATGTCTGATGATGGCGTCAGAGAAGCAGTTTAAAAAAGAAAATGTAAAAAGCATAAATATTGTCTCACAAAAGTCATAAAACATTTTTTAAACAGACGTGTATTAGTATTCTTTAGTGAGTTAAGGAGAGAAATAAGTAGTTTTAGTACCATAATTACATTATTTACGGAGACCTGGATGTATATCTGTTCATGCATGCGCAGAACGGATTGTGCTTCGGATACAGACCGGGTAGTGACAGTCCCAAGATGTTGTTCACGCCCCTCCCTATTTACCAAGTATACGTCGGAGCAGAGTCATCTGTTCTTGAGATTGACAGCTGTCCCAGCATGCACTGCGGCAGCAGCAGCTTTCAATGCAGCACTCACAGAGCTTTGAATATTAAGTTAAAAGTTCTCTTTTCGGTTGCCGTTGTCCTATAAATGTACGCTTTATTTTTAGTTTCATTTGAGAACATTATACTGTTAAGCGTCACTATATGGCCCATTCGCTGATTTAGTTTGTAACAAAAAAAAAGGTTCAGATGTTGAGGGGACCGTGGCAACGACACAACAACAGGCAACAATTGACTTGTAAGGAACATTATCTGTGTGGGCCCCATATGAAGTACAGCACCCCATATCTAGACACAATAATAACAGGAGGTGAAATGCGGCAAGGACACGAGTCCGTACTCACATTTTTGTGAATTGAGAAATAGTAAATGATTTTTGACTTTTATTGATTTTTTTCGAAAATTAACACATCAGACACCAAATGCGAGTGAATTTTCCATTCTGAGTGAATTTCAGAGGGCTAGCTGCCACATGGTGAGTTAATGTTTTTTAGTCATCCTTTTGGTGGCTGTTTCTTCATGTTCCTCTGCTGTCACCTCATATAACACACTTGTTTACACATTTACACATGTTTAGTGTAAAGTGGTGTATGGAGATGGTGGTGTTGTAAGAAACTGGCTGCACTATGATTACAAGGCTTTTCCGTTCATGCTAATAATCTGTTCCGTGTGTTGCCAGTATAATAATAATTGAACTTTATTGATCTGACACTGGAGAAATTCACCTGTGCATTTTAACCCATCCCTTTGGGAACAATGGGCTGCCAATGTGCAGCGATAAGGAGCAATGTGGGGTTAAGGGTCTTACTCAGGGAGCAAGAGTGGCACTCATTGGGAAAGGGTTTTTGAACTCAGAACCTCTGGAACCTCTATGACAAAGATAAGAACAGAAAAACATTTTTTCACATACGTGAACACGAACAAACTAAATGCCAAATGGTCTGTGTCAGTGTGCTCTGTCAAAAAAAGCAGATTCTCATGGCAAACAAACATTTCACAAAACATAACAATTATGCACATGGCTTGTATGTATTTTAAATCACATTGCCACAGAAAACTATTCATGCCCTTCCAATTTTTCCCCCCATATTTTTCACCTTAAAATCCAAAACTTTAATTAGTTTTATGGGCATTTTATTGCTAGAAAGAAAAAAGAAAAAGGCACATCATTTGATTGTTGTAGAAAAATAAAACTGGAATAAATTGAATGCATTTAAACTAATCTCTTTGTTTACTGTGTTTAAAACAAAATAGGGGTGGATTTAGGGAATTTGGGGCCCTAAGGAAAGACAGGCATGGCTGCAAACCAAGGACAGCAAATACAAATGCTGCACCTACATATCAAAACTGAAAGAACTCCAGTGATAGCATGTGTTAAAAACGTGCTGAATCTTGTTTTTTTTTTTTTGCTGATATTATAGCCCTACAGGGGGAATAATCCCTAGTCAAACCTGTTTCTACCTGCGAGGTAAAAACACAGCTGATAAGAATTCAGACTGTAAAGAGTATAGATACAGGCCTTGACCTGTGCTTTATTACACAACCTATGCTTGTTTGTTGATTGATTTCATGTTCATTGATACCGTTTGACTGAATATCAAAGCTTTGTGTTCCATTCTTGAAAAGCACATAGTAATCAAATTCCTCACCTGTGAAACAAAATAAACTCTTGATGAATATTTCCATGTAAATTGATAAGGTTTTCCTAACAGATAATTCCAGAAGACACTTTTTCCATAGGCACAATTACATGTTTTTTTTTTTTTTTTATTAAAAAATGCTGTTTAACTTTGAAAAGGAATGAGAGTAAATTAGTGGTATATGTTTTATTTCATATTCTTAATTACAATTTACAGCAGGCGCCTTTTATACACGTTTACGACTAAAAAATCATTGACTTCATGATTGTTGATATTTATATTTCACAGCTTCTTTGTTTAAACTATTCCACACACCTATTTTTTTTTTTTTATTTCAAAATACAGAGCTTGAACTGATGATCAGGGCTGCTGAACAGATAGCAAGTAAATAATATTTTCATTACTTCTGCTAAGGTTGTGGAAGATTTGCGGTAAAAAGACAAAGAGTCAAAGATATAAGCAAAAAGATGGCAAGAATTGCATGACATGCATTTTTAGATTGTGACAGCAAAAAGACATTTTGTAGAAACTGAAAACCAACTTTGACATCACTTTTTAATATTATTGTTATGAGCAGAAAATACCTAACAGTTTTTGAAAACAAAAGAAAGTAAACTAGAATTGATAAGAAGGCTCACTTTTTTGTCTTCAACAGATGCCAACAATTTTTCCCCTTGAATATTTTTTGTGAGGTGTAGAACATCTTATAAAAAGTATTTTCATTAATGTTGACCATAATTTTAGACCTTTTACCAATAAATCCCAGTAATACTTAGAGGCTCATAAGTCATCAGCTTATTTCTATTTAAACCAAAACTAATTGAATTCGTTTAGATATTACAGCTGACATTTATTTTTTCACTACTATTACTTCTTGTAAATGTAGTTTCTTCAAGTATCTGTTATAAGAATATTATTTTGTTAAACTATGCTTGAGTGTTACAAGGTTAAACGAAAACACAGCAGAGAACCACAAAGGACTGTTTTCAGCACAGCAATATTGTTTGGAGAAGATAACGATATAAAATTTTGTTGGTTATCTGCCCTCAGTGAAGGAAAGTTTTTTTGGGAAAAAAAGTCATAATGGGGATTAAAATGTAACAAAAAAAAAAAAAAAAAAAGCAAAAGGATAACAAAAAAGAAACAGAGACCATATCAGAGTTTAATCTTGTATTTTCTCTAGACTGAAAAGTTGAATGTAAGGCTGTCATGAAACACCATCAAAGAGCTGCAATAAATAGTCTTTTCTGTTAAAATAAGAGCAGCAATCTTCAACCACAACAGGAACAAAGGTTCTAATTGATAACAAAGTGTTGAAATACAGTGTGTTGTTTCATAAGTTAAAGATTGTATCTTTTCTTTCATGATTTTTTTCAAACATTTTATCATCAGAGACAGTTAAAAAAAACAACAACAAACAAAAAAACAAAAAAAACAAAACAAAAAAAACCGACACCCTTTGAACTACTTTTGAAAATTTAAGTCACTAAAACTTCAACAATTTCCTTAAGTCTTCCCTTGGGATATACCGTCCTAAACATGTTAAATTTAGTAAATAAAAACAATTTGAACTTGCTGCCCACCTTGTTAGGTAAACCTGTTCAACTTATTGTTAACATGCAACGAATAATCAACTTATCAATGGTACAGATGCAATGGATTATCTGCTGATATTTCACAAAAATTCCATCTCTAAGGGTAACAGGAAACAGTCTAAGAAACTGAAATTAGACTGTGAGCAAAAGCTGTGTGGAGGATAACATGAAAACATCCATGTGAAAGAAAACAAAAATAGTAAAAATTACCAATGGTGACAAAAAAGTAGGGTTTTAAACAAGGATGGTGAGTTCAGAACTTGGCCTTGATAGCATAAAAGCATGGCTCATTTATGAGCCATTCAGAGACGTAGTGGTTAGTGGTATAGGAAACATTTTCTTTCAACAATTTGGATCTATTTATACCAGCTGAGCATTTTTCAAACACTTTTTCCTGCCTGAATGTTACTGCTAATCATATTCATGCCTTCTGATGGCTACATCCAGCAGGATAATGCACCACATCAAAAAGCACAAATAACTTTGATAGATAATAGGTAATATGCAATAGCAAAATAATAGGTCTGTGTTTCCTTGATGTTCAAAGTCACAAGACGAAGATCCAAAAATCATCATATCAATTTTGGGAAAACAAGAGCAACAGCATGATGCTACCATGTTAGAATAGACCAAATCTCTGAGAAATGTTTCTGACTCCTTCTTTGATCTATGCCAAGAAGAACTAATGCAATTCTGATGGTAAAATGGGGACTAGTGAGGTGTATCTAATAACGTGGCTTTTGAGTGCCATTGGACTTTCTGTTGGTAAAATAAATGATCACAAGGTGGCCACAAAAAGTGAATGTTTGTGCCATTCATATCATTTATATGTCATTTATATTCTAGTTTAGCCTTTCAGCAAAAGAAAACAAATGAAAAGAAAACAAGAAGTTAAGATTCAGTGATTTATTGCTTTAAACAAAGAATTGTGTCTCTTTTCTTATAATATGGAAGATGTTTATCCTGTCGGCATGCGTTCTTCTTGGCCTTTTTTTAGCTTTTCTCCTTTTCTGTGGACATTCTCCCATCATGCCAGGCCTCTCGAGTGTTTTTCAGGGCCTTGGTCCTTTTCGGATCCACAACCACATAGTCTACACGTCTGCGATCACCTCGTCCTCTTTCGTCACCCGCTCCAACTGGCTCATTGCTGTTGGTTCCACCCTCTGCAGTGCAACGTTTCTTGACAGGCACAGAAATAAGGAAAAACTTTTTATACAGTTTTCATAAAATTTACATCCATATTATGTAAGAAAATACATGCATGATGTCTATATGTACGAAATAAGCTCAATTTAGAGAGTTGTGGATAAATTGATCTCTACTGGACAAACTCCAGTAAATAAAAATTACAATGTAATTTTTTTTACCTGTCTGGTTGGTGTTGATCGTCCTGTATGGAGATCCAGGTCCAAATACTCCACCTGTTTTTCAGCTTTTGCTCGTTGTAGTATTGGGCTGCTGACTCCACCTTCAGAGGCTCGGTGGAGAATCATCCTAAGAGACTGAAAACGAGCAGATTCAGATCATAATAAAACAGTGGGTATAAAAATAAGTTATTTAGAGTGACAGTGTGAAAGTAGGGACAATATATAATATAAATGGAACATGTAGATACTACTGTTTGAAATATATTTAGAAAACAGACAGGTGAACAATAATAAAATGTTTCACCTGCTCTCCAGCACTATGACTGAGGTTGGAGGTCACCATGGTAACATAGCTGTCATCTGGGTCATCAGAATCCGAGGAGGGGGATGAACTTTGCACAGAGCTCTGAATAAATGAGCCCCGTGTTGATGGGCTAAGACACATGAAACACGATTAAATTATCCAAGGTAAAACTTTACTCTTTAGGTTTAATCCATAACCACAGGGTTTTAATTTTTGTTCACTTATTTTAAAAATAATGCCCTCCTAAAACATGCATTTATTTTTCTTGCTTCAGGTTGAGCATTTTCAGATTTTCATGTAATACTTTGTTGTGGCCACAAGATGGTAGCAGAGAGCAACACAGCCAAGGTCGGTCAGCATGTTATTGAAAGCTCTCCCATTTATTGGTAAACATATTTTATATCAATTTGTTTAAGCTAAATGTTGACTTGCTTACCATCGAGTAAAGGTTCGAGTGACAGGTGAGCGAACAGGAGGTGGGACTTCCTGCCAGTCCTGAGATACTGGTTTGATCTCTAGGGGAGCTGGTTTTACTGGAATACATAAAAAAAAAAGAAATAATGTTAACTTATTAAAAAGAAGGGAAGATTAAAATGTCTTGTTCATGCAGGTCAGTTTGTGACAAAGTTTTGTAAATCTGAAAAACTGATATTCTCAGGTGGTCTAAACATAGACACTGCCAAAAAAAAGCTCAGCTTAGGGCATTTTTTTCCTTTGGCAACTGAAGAAGTAGATCCTTTTTTTCAGCTTCAGGTCATAAGTACGTCGCTCTTATTCAGTCTGTACTGTCCTGGTATATCTCTGGGTTTATCGACGAGACAGGGACTATCTAGACTGCAACAAGCACTTAGATCCATAGAGGTAAATACTGGCCTTCCTTATAGGGACAAAGACAGTTCTTCAATCAGGAAACAACAAGCAAGCAAAGAAGCAGAAGGAAGTGATACAGCTAATACCTCCAAAGTTTATTACTTCTTTGAACAGTGAAAGTGCTGACCTAGTCAACCAGACAATAACAATGTTCTGATTAATGCTGATGAATGACACACCGACAGTCAGAGAGATATGCTGCATTCAAAGCTTTTTTTTGTAATATTTTGTGGTCAGAGATGAACATTTCTATAATTTAGAGATGTTAGATATCTTCATTTTTCAAAGTAAAATGAAGCCTTGGTAGCATGAAAAAGTGCACAAGCAACCTCATTTCCAAACCATTGCAATGGCTATTTTTGTCACAACTTGAAAGATTTCCAAACAGCCAAGTTATTACTTTTTTTTTTTTTAGTTTATTCTCTGCAACTGACTTTGAACAGAGGTTACATGTTGTGGAAGGTCAGCACCGTTCTGTGCTCTACAAAGATTGAAGCACTCACATTCATTCTGTCACTTTCCATTGTTTTAAATGGCATTAATACCTAAAGTGACCAACAGTGGAGAGATTTCTTCTCTGTAGCCATCTGTAAAGGTGCAGGGTGCTGCACACTGATTGGTGCCTAGGGAGTATGCTTAGTTGTGAACTTTTGGAGTCAATCCAGGAGACACACAGTCTGTTCTCTAACCGTTAAACCACAACTTCCCCATTAATTTGTGTTCCCAAGAAAAGGCAACCTCTTTAAGTGTTTGCAGAAATGAAAAACATGAAATTTTAATTCTATTGTTTCCATAGGCAGCAAATTTTGGTCTACTGCTGTTGGTTAACATATGGGCTGCTGTCAGAACACTGTTCTGTGGTCTTGTCAAGCAAACTGGGTGCAAGTAAATAATTAATACTGAAAGCAGTGTCACACAAGAAGGTGGGAAGAAACAATGAAGCATTTCGTGTCTGTATACTTATGTTTATAGCTATAGGGTAAGAGTTGGTACCTTTTGTTTTATGATTAATTTCTACAGAGCTCTGGTTGCTGTGTTTCTCCACAGTGTTACTGCCACCAGCTCCTGCAGAGATGCAATTTGAAACAGAAAACTGCATTAGGAATACCTATACTGTAATAACTAATTAACAGTTTAAAGTGTATATACACACACTCTATATATAAACTAGACACCCTGTTTAACCATAATTTGTCATTAGGAATAGTTAAAGATTTTTGATGTTCTTTGTTGAAAGGAGTACACCTTTCACTGTCTGTATCATTAAATTGCCCTTGCTAATTTCTAAATGCTTTGAGAAATTTCATCTGCCAATAAAAAATGCCCTGTGAGCAGCAATAATTCCTTGACTGATTCCCACTGACCTTTTCTTTGTGGCTTCAGATTACGATGGATTGGGGGAGGCACGACTTCTACTTCACCCACATTACTGTTGGTTATTGTATTTCTTCGCGTTGGTGGTGTAGAGGGAATGACGGGAGTCATGGTGGAATTCCGAAAACCCATGTGGGCAGGTGGAGGCACTTGCCTCCCCAGGAATGCTAGGTCACATGTGGCAGGAATGGGATTAGCAGAAAAGGACGAGGTCAGCGGGGTCATTGGGACGTAGTTGCCATCTTGGAGCTCAGTAGTAGAGTCAGTTGGACCTCCTGGATGGAGCCTGGATGAAGAGAGGAACACATTGGTGGACTTAAATTAACCTTTTAATTGTCATGTCATGACCATAGGACTTATGTGGTATCTCCAAATTTACAGCCTCATACTGCCACAATAAGGCTACTGCCCAATGGTAGACTAGACTCTCCCAAGAAGTAAAGAACAGCAGCCAACTTAATTCATGATTTTTCAGACATTTTTATTGATTTATGAAATCTTTACAATTTTTTTTTTAATTATGTATGTCCAACCATTAATTAGGAGTTATAACTCACATCCATCTTCAAATGTAATGCTGAACACTATAAAAAGCTTTAAAAGACCCTACTTGACTATTAATCTGTTTCAATTCGTTTTTGTGACCATTGTTGGTTTTTCTTTCATTAAACAAGGGGTTACAACAATCATGTGCATGTGTGTATGAGTGAAAAGAGGAGGATCTTAATAACAACTACATTACAAACTACATTTCTCAAAGGATTGAAAATTAGAATTTCCTCTTGCAGCAAATATTGATGATTTTAAATGAATCTTTTTTTTCTATTATTGATTTGTCCTAATTTTATGTCAAATACTCATGCCTATTGTTAAACATCTCTATTTATACACTTCATGCACTCATTTTATTTAATTAGCATCTGTCTGCTTTATTAAAACCATCACACACTCAACAATAATCCCACAATAACCTTAATTTAAACTCATAGTTTGAAAAATATTTCAGTACCTCAGTAGCTCATTAAAACAACATGACAAAGTGTTTCAGTACTGACTCACCTTGCTGTAACTGGTGGCTCAGTGGTGGCAGCACTCATTGGAACATAGTTTTCATTTACATCATCATCTTCATAACAAACACTACCAAGTGGCACCATGCCTTTATTAAACTGAAGGGGAAAAAAACAGTAGAAGAGAAAGTGATTTAAAATGAACAATAAAGTAAACCATCAGCTCATTTGAAGGTGCTAACTTACAAAGTAGGTGTTAAAGCTCTCACTGAACTCAAACATGGTAGCTCTTTCAGATTGAGACCGAGGAAAGAAGACAGACTCGCTACCTGAAATACAGAAAAAAAAAATCTGAATCATGCATCTTAAAGGTGAGTGCATCCGACTGACAGTAATAGGCCATCATGAAAGGTTAAAACAATGTTTTTGCTCATTGGTGTATTTTCTTCAGGTATCATTTACTCAAATTTTTACATAAATGTGGATTGGACAGACTGGTTGGAAGAAACATTTAAATTAATGCTGTTACACAAATTCTTCCTCATTTCACTTTCCATTGTGTTTCTGTAGCTGCTAAAACAGCATTTATCATGAAGAATAAAACTAAGCAAACACTGAAAGCTTTTCTAAACAATATGTCTTTGTTTCACTGTGGGGAAAACTCTCATCTTCTTATTACCTACAGTTCTATTGAAATCCCAATGAACACAAGCTGGGGTTGTTCCTCTAAGCATAAAAACATCCATGAACCCTGCTACTCCAGGAGAATAAAGCTTCTTAAAGTATAAAGGTCACAACACTTGCCAGTGTTCTACCTCACACAGTAACTAAAATTGTGGTAAATGTTTTATAGCACGATTTTCTCTCACTAACACTATATCTTATTTACACTTTTTTAATTTAACGTTTGCACCACTTTTGATTTTTTCAACAACAAATCTTTGAAATATATTATTTTTTAACTGCTATTTGTAAAGTATAGACAATGAACAGAAAAAATGGATTTGGAAATTAATCAAATAAAAAAAGGAGATGTTCCTTTTGGAACTACAAACTATTTAGAAAATGTTTTTTTTTTTGCTATTGTTCTACAGATACCCATTGATTAAGTTAGATACTGATGCTGGATTAGAAGGACTGCTTTTCAGTATCCTTTTTAATTAACAGTAATGATGCCCTACCAGCCGGAAGTCATGACTCTGTGAAAGGTTTAGCGGAGGATGTTCTTTTTTCCGGTGGATCATCAAGACAAGTGGTCCTCCGAATTGTCAGTCATTCTGGTGATATGTTTACGTAAGGCCGTCCTACATGCTCATCCCCATCTTAAATTAGAGGTGGTGAGTCTGACATAGTGGAAAAATTTTAAATCTGGAAAGTAAGCCTGTATGAGCGATGCAAACAGCAACTTTTATACAAAGCGTGCACGAGGAGAAATAGGCTCGTGCATGCTATCCCCCGCGTTTAGTAGGCATTCCCTGTCAGGAGCGGGTACAGGGTTGTGCATGTGCACATTTTTTTTTAAAGTGGAGAGGGCGGGTTTTTCTGAAAATTTGTAAAAATCCTCCACTATACCTTTAAGGCTACTCAAGCTATTCTATTGCCTTGCTTTTTGCGAAGATGTGCACACATGTTGCAACAGGAAGTAGAGATCCCCAAAGTGACTGCCTACCAGGGTGATGGAAGCTGTGTCAAATATACTTGCATGCTGCAGCAATAATTTCAAGAAATGGTAAAACTGGCAACCGCCAAACCAAGAATCCTCCATTTGATTAATTACAAATAGATTATTGATTACTGTTCTGTGTATGCTTTTAGTTATGATGTGTTACCTTTCATTTGTTGTCCTTGGTTAAAGCTTTCATCTCTCTTCTCTGGCACCGAGTTTGCTCTTGGTAGTGTAGCAGGCCCTGTGCCAGCAGTGGAGCTGTCTCCATGTGGTGTCACGGCTTGGGGCTTGGGTGGTCGAGGAGGAGGAGTCGGGATGGCAGTGTTGAGCTCGGCCTGAGTTAACGAGTCCACACTAGGTGTTGAAGAGGGACGCCGAGGAGGAGGTGGTTGTGGAGTGGCTGCTGGTCGTGGGATCTGGTAGCCACTTGTACTTGAAGGTTGCGAGTTGATGCTGGAGTGATTGTCATCGCTCAGTGGCAAAGCTGCAGGGCGCAGGTGGAAATCTAAGGAGTGCTTTCTAGGATGAGGGGAGGGGTGGCAATGAGGTCTGGCAGCTCTTTTCTGGAAGTCAGAAGTCATGCTGGCATCCAAGGACTGACTCAGGGGGCTCGTCATGGCAGCTACTGTCCAAGGAGCCATCCGGAAGCCCGTTGAGGATGGAAGGCTGTTAGGAGGAAGGGAAGGAGAGGAAGAGCAGGAAGAGGAGGAAGAGGTGGCCAATGGAGGAGGGTAGAGGGTATCATTGTTGTCTGTCTCAAGAGAGATGGATGAACCCAAAGGAGGTCTAAGGACGACAATTCAAACATAGGAGGTTTATTAATATTGGTGCTTTTTTTCTCATTGAAAGCAAACAATGCAAATGCATAGTAAAATTTTTCATTTTTACATAGTAAAATATTTCATTTCTTCCATCATTATTTCTTTTGTCTAGTGAATGTTCTAGTGCGACACAGGCAGTTGAAAAGAAGAGAAATCTGTTCACCAAAGTAAGCTATAACTACATTGTCTTTGTTATGAACTCTACCATGATGTTTGGGGAAGTGAGCCCTTTCAGAAACATGTAGGTGTGATCCATGTTGAGCTGATAATCCCTCCCTATTAGCAGCAGCATGTCTAAACCTGAACCTTTCTTCTTTTGCTCTTGGATGGTTTTATTTAACATGGAATATTTATAGCATTTATACAAACATTAATGTGTCTCAGAAAAAAAAAAAAAACTTTATATTCAGTAAAAATCATACCTTCAGAGGTCTTAAATACTTACTCCTTTCATCTGATCACTGGTTTAATAGGTATATAAAATCAGTTTAGGGACACACAAGTTTAAACCTGTTTTAGTATAATTTGCTAGTTCTTAAAATGTATAATTTTGTAATATTAGAACTCACTGAAGATCTAAATTGTTAATAGTCTTAATGGTTGTTTACCTGGTGTGAGTCTGGCAGTTTGATAGCCACAGATAGTCTTCCTCAGCACCGCTAACATGCTCCAGATGACGCACACTGACTGGGTCATATGGGGTTGGGAGGGACACTGTTACCATGGAGATAGCGGGTGTGCCCCTGGATGTGGTCACAGAGGTGGAGTTTGGTGTCCTTTCTGAAACTAAATAAAGTAAAAACCATATTCAGTCAGCGTTGTTGAGAAATATACCTTCCAGCTTATGTTATAGGTGTAGCGGTTTTGTTCTCTAATCTGCATGGTGTTTAATAAAGATGATTGCATGTCTTCTCTATTTGGTTTAACAGCCATTTCTTGCAGCAAACAGACCTGAACATGGAAAAAAGCATGTTCGGACTGATGAGGAATGATAGCAGTTTCTTGTCAGGTCTGCAGGACAAACAAATTGCGCCTGACTCATTGTCCATTAGCACAAGCCAACACATTATATTAGCTTTATTGCAAGCCCAAGCAAAAGTGTGGAAACCCAAATGCCACCATGCATTCCTCTACATAGTGAAGAAATTATTCAACTCGGCAAATGTTGCCACATCTTTAAACCACGCTTAACTCAAGTCCAATTGTGCTTCAGTTTCTGTTCATACTTAAGTGCCTGCTTGACAAAATATTTTCCATATGTGGGCCTACTTGTTTATTAATGTCTTTTTTTTGTTATTTTTGTTATTTCCAGGTTTTATGGAATGCACTTTATGGAATGAAAATTTTTATTTACTGTCCGAAAAGCTGTACTAAATGAAATTTCATTTTTGTATACACTCTGTGTATACAAAATGACAATAAAAGTTGTCTACGTTTTAGAGTCATTACACTGTCACAAGTACAGAGTAACAAAATGCACTCTGCATTTAACCCATCCCTTGGGGGCAGTGGGCTGCCATTGTACGGCGTCCGGGGAGCATTGTGAGGTTAAGGGTCTTGCTCAGGGACCCAGAATGGCAGACTGTGAGAGTGTGTCTCAAACTACGAACCTCTGGCTTCCAAGCGCAATGCCCTAACCACTTGGCTGCCACTCCCATAATCCCATCATAATATCTACCAAGACCCTTGGTGAATGACAGCATGAAACCTGGAATATTGCAACCAACTTAAGACTCTTCTAGGTTTGTATTGGAGTTAACCTGGCAGCAGACAGATTGATATGTTTAGAACTGCGTTGAGTTCTACGTTATCAATCTGGGATGGCTGCCGTTCATTCTGTCGGTGAAAAAGAGGGATGTTTAGTACAATACTTCCAGCTGATTGGGTGACATGCAAGCTAGTACCTGCTAGTATGCTTGATCATACGCTTTCAGTCAATCCTAGCTGCGCATCCCCTGTGACTGTCATCCTTCCTTGGCCCAAAAAACACTTCTGGCATCTCATTGTTCCGACGCGCTATTTTTTTACATGATGGATGTATTAGATGGAGTCTTTCAAGATGGATTTGTCGTGAGACTGAAAACTCAGATCTTGCAACAATCCAGCTTGCAGCACTAGGTTGTATTGTAGTGCCCAGTTAAGAAGAATGGCTGGTTAATTGATTGAAAATTGTCTTTCTTCTTATTTTTCTTTTATTTGTCCATTAAGTGGACATTTTTCAATCTATTGCATTATCACACTCTCAGATCAGGCTGTTAAAGCTACACCTAATTATATGTTTTTTGTTCTGCTGTTTAATTACTTGATGACTGAAATAGTGGATCAACAAATCACCTGGCTGCAACCAACTAGAGCTGCTGTCATCACAATGGGAAAGAAATTGGATTTAAAAGACTTTGGACATTGCATGGTTGTTGGCAAGATCAAGAACGGTCTCAATAGGATAAAAAATATCCAGTGATTAGCAGATCTGAGGATGAAAAAGTCTTGCTGATGCCATAGGAGAAAACAAGATATGTTTAAAATGATAGCAAGATTTAGTTTCAAGTTTAACTCTGACTACCACAGATGGTAGGTCAGTTTAAACATGTAAGGATGGACCCTTCTTGCTTGGTATCAATGAGTGCTGATGTTGTGATGTTATTGAGGCTCATTATCTTGGCACATGTACCAAACTGAGCATTGACCCAACTCCACCTGTAAGCTATCATTCATTCATTACCACAGTTTCCATCTTCTGATGATGACTTCATGCCTGATTGATAATAAAACCTTTATATATTTTAGAACCATTTCTAAGATTATGGTTACTTGTAAAATTCAATGTGTTTTACTCCAGCTGGGGAATAAAAATAGATCTCAAGAACTGAAAGCTGAAAAATGTACAGCAACAGTGCAATGCTATATTATATCTATAAACAATGTTTCAATCCTTACTGGATTCATGCCACAAAATATTTTAGAGTATTTAGCAATATTTGCAAAGTGTCTGGCACACTGCTATCAAAATTATTCAAGAAAAATAGACATCTGGGCATATCATACCTATATATCTATTTAAAAGGTTACCAGCTTTGCCAGCTACCTTGTGTTTTTGCAAGAATCTCCAGCAGGAACATTAGAAACTAATTAACTGAACAACAAGCCGAGTGTGTGAAAGAAGCTGCATGTCATCCAAATCTTGTGTGAGTGGCTTTTAATCATTTTACCTCATTGTTAGCTATTTGTGTAAAAGCTAAGGTAATAATTTTCTATGGATCGAGTAGAAGGAAAAATAAAAGGTTATAAATTTCTTTCTCACCTCATTAAATGCGACTGTCGAATTTCTTCTGACATCTTTAATACATTACCATATCTGGATGCTTTTGACATTATTGTAGAATTTGTAAGCATGTTTAAAATTAAAAGTTCATAAATAAATTATTGTTAGCCTGGAATAATTATTTTTTTAAGGGTATAGAGTCTTAAAGGACTGATCATAGAAATACTCCAGATTGAGAACGGCAGTAACTACATATGGAACCCATAGAAACTCTTTCCAGTTTGTCTCCCCTATTCGTTTTATTAAATCTAAAAATCTACATTACAATAATCCAAAACATATCAGCTAGCATTATCAATAATGCTGTGCAATGCTCTAAAACTAAACATCAACTAATCTCAGAATTAAAATTGCTCCAGTACATATGCAGTTTAAATTAGACTGCATAATATTATTTAAGCACATGCCTAAAACTTTTTAAAGATTTATAAAAAAATAAGAACACTGAATTATTCCCAAATAGTATAAGATGTTGTGCAGAAGAAAGTGTATTACTGACATATTTTAATATTGATATCATACTTTGCACTTCTCTGATTCACTGAAGAAACCCAAAGGACCTTTCGTCCATATTTTTCTCTGCATGTTCTCCTGTTTCCCCTCCTACTAGTTTTCACGCTGAGTCAATATCAGCCCACAGACTAAATGCAAGTACATCACAGCAAAAAGAGACATTTTGGATTTGGCTTTTCTTATTTTTATCATACCATCATCGGTGGGATTGAAGCCACAAAGGAGACAGATGGACGTCACCCAGCGGTTCATGTCCTCCTCAGACTCGGCTACCAGGTACCAGGTTCTCTCTGCTGTTCGCAGGTCAAAAACAAAACTGCTCTCCAGCTCTTTTTTGGTGAAGGAGAGGCCAGCATCTACCTGGAGGAAAGAATGGAAAAAGAGTCAGATTTCTGAATCAAATTGTTTACAGAACATCAAACTCTTCCCCTGACAGACAATTGATAATATGCTGCTAAAAAAAAATCTAAAGTCATCCTATTTTTGTTTTCCTTTGGCTGTTTCTCTTAATTTTTTTCTGCTAGTATTTGGACATTTTGTTTTCATTCATTTTGTTTTCCTCAGGTAGATGGAAATATTTATCATAAAAGGCTTGTAAACTTAAAAGGATATTTTTTGTTCTATCTACATTTAGGAATTAAACAGATTTGTAAATGTAGACAAATGTAAGGCAAGCCACGTTTTGTTTGTGTAGCAATTCAGTACATCGACAACTCAAAGTGCTTTACATGAATTAAGCGATACAATAGAAGAAAAATATAGAATAGTTAAAGCAATTAAAGATAAAACAAGATAAAAGCAAGTAGTAAATTCAATAAAACAGTTGGATCACAACCTTTGACTAATGATAACTTGGTTAACAGTTTAACTTCGACATTCAGAGACATTTCTTATCAAATGTGTTTTTAACTGACTTAAGAACTCAGGCTTTCAGCACTTTTACAGTCTTCTGGGAGTTTGTTCCAGATCAGTGGAGCCTGGGAACTAAATGCTGATTGTCCATGTTTGGTTCTAATTCTGGGTGGACAGAGTAGGCAGGAACTAGAAGACCTGATAAAGACAGCCAACGCTGTGATTGGTTGATTGTCACCTGGTGACATTGTGCTGTAAAGGTGTGTGTACAATACTTTGCAAGGTTATAGTAACTGATATTGTTGTTTGCTATAATCTCAACTAAGGAGAGCCTGTAGATGTTGAATAGGAGGGGCCCCAAAAGGGAGCTTTGAGGAACCCTGCCAGTGGTGCCGCATGGGGGGGAAAGTTAGGACCATTCCAAGGGCCCTTGACTTAGAGGGGGCCCAAAAGAAGAAGAAAAGATATGTCCCACTAGATATTTAATATATATAAAAAAAAATCATCATACATTTTCCTTGTGTTCTCCCTGATCTTTCAGCATTAAATATTTTCACAATTTTATTTTGTTTTGTTTAATTTTTATCTTTCAAGAAAAAAAAAATTAAGCCAGGATTTATCCAGCATTTTTGTGAGAGTGTAACTAACACAGAGGCAAGACAAGGCAACAAGAAAAAAAGCCATAGTCTTTACGTCAGCATCATCTGAGCGCTAGTAAATGTTTAGCAGGATATTTACAATTAAATAATTGTCCTTGTCCCTCCTTCATCATGTAAACAGATGATCCACCAGTAGCAGTCTGATCTCTTTAAGTGATCTCCAGAGATGGGAAGTAACGAAGTACAAATACTTCGTTACTGTACTCAAGTAGATTTTTCTGATATTTTTACTTTACTTTACTACTTATTTTTATGGCGACTTTTTACTTCTACTCCTTACATTTTTACACAAATATCTGTACTTTCTACTCCTTACATTTAAAAAAATTGGCTCGTTACTTTAGTTTTGAATCATTTCAATGGAGTTACCGTTATTATTTTTCACGTCATCAATACCAAATTCAATCTAATTGGATGGGAATCTACGTTGCATTTGACGCACCACTACAAGATGAATCGACAGATTCGGCGGTATTCATTGGCGGCAAATCATTGCAGCTTGGTGGCGGTGGCGTTAGCATAGTAGTATGGACGACGAGATGATTGAAAATGAACACAACGGAGATCTAGTCCTATTGGCAGACATCCATTTAAAATGTAGGCAACGGCATGAAAAAAGTGGTTTCTACTTTTACTTTTATACTTTAAGTAAATTTACAAGCCTGTACTTTGTTGCTTTTACTTGAGTAAAGAAGTTTAATCAGTACTTCCACTTTTACCAGAGTATTTTTTAACACAAGTATCTGTACTTTTACTCAAGTACAGAAAGTGAGTACTTTTGCCATCTCTGGTGATCTCACCGAGCCCCAATGAAGATTGTGAACCACATTATGTCCAGTTCAAAAACTTAAAATGAAACTTTTTAATTTATAAAAATTTAAACACATTTTTTTCTACATAATGATCACTATAAAATGAAATGGTCTTGCAGTTGTTTGTACTCAATCCTGGACAATTAAAGGCAAACATCAGTTAGCCTCCAGCCGCCTGTATTACAATCACTGTTAATAACTCAGTTAGATTGTTATATTCAGATTGAATTATAGCCACTAAACGGCATCTACAAATCATGTTCATTCTCATAAGCAGCCTGAAACAGCTATACAAAAAATACTTATATATTATTGTCATTACATGTATACATGAATGAAAACTATATTCGCATAAAAACTCACCTTTGTTAAGGTATAGAGAGACAAAATGGGAAAATATTTTTTAAATCCAAAACCTATTTTCTTTTCAAGTGTATAAAGATACATCTAGTATCTTATCAAGTTAATGTATATTTAACTTTCATGTGAGGATAATTTTCCTTTATTAAAATTGTACAGTAAAAATTGCATTGAAAATGTAAATCAGCGGTCCCCAACCACCGGGCTGCGGACCGGTACCGGTCCGTCGGTCATTTGGCACCGGGCCGCACAGAAAAAAGTATATATGTATATATATACAGTGTTGTGCCTGAACGCGTTCATTGAACGAAAGTTCATGAACTCGTTCATATTTTGGGCGAACGTGAACTGAACGTACTGCATTATTGCCTGATGAACGTTATTGTGAACTCGTTCATTCTGGCGTCTGTGAACGGCACACTCTCTCAGTTCAACTCCGTTCAATAGGTTGCCAGATTTCTATAAAGCCCTCCAGGCGAAACCCCGGCTAAATCAAACCGTAAACAGGCCTTAATATGTAGCGTGAAAAACACCCAATCTGGCAACACCAGCTACCAGTGTCGTAGTCTACAGCCGCGTGCGTCATCAAAACAAAATGCGTGGAAGCAACAGCAGCATGGAGGCGACTTAAAACTGTTTTATGACCAGGTGGTCGGTGAGGATGATGGCAACAAGTTTGCCTTGTTTGCTTTCAGTAAAAAAATCCGCACTTCAGTAACCTTAAATTCCTACCTCAGCCTGGTCCCTCAGTTTGTGTTAGTAAAATCTTCTTGAGCGGAGGTCTTCACCAGGGGATCCGCGACCCCTAGGGGGTCTACGGAGGTACTGCATGTGGATCTGCATGGTTAGTTTATATTTTTATATTCCCCCCCTGCAATTTTTTTTCCCACTTATTGAAATGTCTTTAAATACTCATTAACATGAAATGAACACACTGTAGTAAACAGATAAATGGAGGCAGAAGATGTCTTTCAGTCATCAATGCTCACATTCAGCGACACACAGGAGCTCTTTCAAGCTGGGCACCTGGTTTCCAACCAGGAATCAGAATCAGAAAAACTTTAATAATCCCAGGGAGAAATTAATTTCTTTACATTACTCCATCTGTAATAGAGTGACTATAGGACACAATTTCATACAATATATATAGTTAGGGGGTCCCCGCTCCATCTCGCCATCAGTTTGGGGGTCCTTGGTCTGGAAAACATAGAAGACCCCTGTTCTTGAGGGTTTTACTATCCATGTAACTTGTTTGTTAAATGTGCCTGGTATAATTTTCCAGGATTCCAGTATTCCTTTTTAGTATGTATTGAAATGGAATTTCAAATGGAAAAAATTATTAAAATAAAAAAAAACATTTGCACCTTAAAGACTACTTTCCTATTTTTCTTTTAATAATTACTCATAAAAAAGACCATTCAAGCAGCACATTTTTCCTGATGTTTTTGAGAATATACTGTAGGGGTGAAAGCTGCAGCTGCTACTAGTGTGAAGTGAATGGACAGCAACAAAGCATTAAAGCAACAATGGGGAAATGCTGTCCCCTCAATGCTAATGTAAATCCTGGTTGGATAAGGATTCAAAACTGGATATGAAGATGAAATCTGACGCACAGTTTCAGTGTTACAACTGATAAAATAATTGCTGTCTGTGGTTCTACAGTAGGCTATGGTGTAATTGAGCAATATATGAAAAAAAAAAAGAACTATGAACTAGTTCGTTTTTTGGAATTGTGAACTATGAACTGAACTAGTTCATTTTAAAATGTGTGAACTGAACTTTGAACTAGTTCACGTAGAAAGAGAACTTTCCCAACACTGTATATATATATACACTATATTGCCAAAAGTATTTGCTCACCCATCCAAATTATTGGAATCAGGTGTTCCAATCACTTCCATGGCCACAGGTGTATAAATTCAAGCACCTAGGCATGCAGACTGTTTTTACAAACATTTGTGAAAGAATGGGTCGCTCTCAGGAGCTCAGTGAATTCCAGCGTGGAACTGTGATAGGATGCCACCTGTGCAACAAATCCAGTCGTGAAATTTCCTCGCTCCTAAATATTCCACAGTCAACTGTCAGCTGTATTATAAGAAAATGGAAGTGTTTGGGAACGACAGCAACTCAGCCACGAAGAGGTAGGCCACGTAAACTGACGGAGCGGGGTCAGCGGATGCTGACGCGCATAGTGCGAAGAGGTCGCCAACTTTCTGCAGAGTCAATCACTACAGACCTCCAAACTTCATGTGGCCTTCAGATTAGCTCAAGAACAGTGCGCAGAGAGCTTCATGGAATGGGTTTCCATGGTCGAGCAGCTGCATCCAAGCCATACATCACCAAGTGCAATGCAAAGCGTCGGATGCGGTGGTGTAAAGCACGCCGCCACTGGACTCTAGAGCAGTGGAGACGCGTTCTCTGGAGTGACGAATCGCGCTTCTCCATCTGGCAATCTGATGGACGGGTCTGGGTTTGGCGGTTGCCAGGAGAACGGTACTTGTCTGACTGCATTGTGCCAAGTGTAAAGTTTGGTGGAGGGGGGATTATGGTGTGGGGTTGTTTTTCAGGAGCTGGGCTTGGCCCCTTAGTTCCAGTGAAAGGAACTCTGAATGCTTCAGCATACCAAGACATTTTGGACAATTCCATGCTCCCAACTTTGTGGGAACAGTTTGGAGCTGGCCCCTTCCTCTTCCAACATGACTGTGCACCAGTGCACAAAGCAAGGTCCATAAAGACATGGATGACAGAGTCTGGTGTGGATGAACTTGACTGGCCTGCACAGAGTCCTGACCTCAACCCGATAGAACACCTTTGGGATGAATTAGAGCGGAGACTGAGAGCCAGGCCTTCTCGTCCAACATCAGTGTGCGACCTCACAAATGCGCTTCTGGAAGAATGGTCAAAAATTCCCATAAACACACTCCTAAACCTTGTGGACAGCCTTCCCAGAAGAGTTGAAGCTGTTTTAGCTGCAAAGGGTGGACCGACGTCATATTGAACCCTATGGATTAGGAACGGGATGTCACTTAAGCTCATATGTGAGTCAAGGCAGGTGAGCAAATACTTTTGGCAATATAGTGTATATATATATATAAATATATACTTTATCGACGATCAGAGTCTGAGTGATATTTTATTTTGAAAAATATAAAAATTGCTGTATTCTCTCCCAATTACATCTGTGCCTCTTGACACAGGTTATTCAGTTCAAGACTCATCCTATCTATAACATCCTATCTTTGTGAAGCGGGATTTTCTGCGGTTACAGCGACCAAAACAAAGCTGCAGAGCAGACTGGACATCAGGAGCACACATTCTGTGTCATTGTCTCCGATTACGCCTAGATGGGACCAGCTTGTTGTTTTATTTTTATGCTGTTTGTATTTGATTTTATGCCAGTCGTATCATTTTACCCCCCCTGGCTGGTCCGTCAAAATATTGTCTGACATACAGTATAGCGGTCCGTGGTGCAAAAAAGGTTGGGGACCGCTGATGTAAATTACACTCTTTGGTGCATCTTTACCTGTCCTTCAGGCAGGATTTAAACGAGAAAGGCCAAGTTTTCCAAGAAATTCAAATAAAGTACCAGCACTATGGTTCTTCCACAGTCTGAAATATTATGGATGTTTTTTAACACCTTAATCAGGGCAGTCTCTGTACTGTGGTTGGCATGGAAGCCTGAATGGAAGACATCAAAGCAGCTGGTCATTGATAAAAAGGAATTTAATTGTTGAAAAAACTTTTTATAGTCTTAGTGATGCATGGGAGGATTGAGATCAGCCTGTAATTCTGCAGGACAAATTTGTCCAATATTTTCTTTTTCAATAACTTTTTATTTTATTTTATATACTCTAATAATCCCAGAGGGAAATAACTGCTCTGCATTTAACCCATCCCCTTGGGGAGCAGTGGGCTGCCATCGTGCGGCGCCCGGGTAGCAGTGTGGGGTTAAGGGTCTTCCTCAGGGAGCCAGAGTGTCAGTCTGTGGGAGTGGGAGATCGAACTCACAATGTCAGGATTCAAAGCCCTATGCCCTAACCACTAGTGCCTTCACTCCCCCACTCCCTCACTCCCCCACGAATAACGAAGGATCTTTAGGCACCTTTATGCAGGCTGCCTGTGAATAGTAATACATTGCTCCTACAGCTACAGTCGAATCAGTTATTGAGAAATGTAAATTACAATTTTTGCACCAAGGATCAATACATCAGTGAGGTCATTTATATACATACAACAGTCACTCAAGCAGTTGTTCAGCACTGGCTTGCTAGTACTACTGCTTTAATTCTTAAGGGCATAGATTCAAAAAGGGGTTGGAAACATTCTTTAGAGTTTTTCATCCATATTGCTATGATAACATCATGTAGTTTTTTATCTTGCTTTTGTGCATTTACCTGCTCACAGAGATTCAAATTGATGGTGCCAATCGGCCGTCTGGAATGCTGGTTCTTATAGTACTGAAGGACATCTGGTTCTCCACTTAGTCGACCACTTCGCAGGACAAACCAACGTCTTTTCCATGCCTGTACAGACATAGTCATTACAGAGATATGTTAATATATTTTTTTCAGATCATATGTTGTAGAAAAGCATAAAAGCATAACACTATCAGCCCTTGAAGGCAAAAAACCAGGGGCATCTAACCTGTTGCTCTGGAACTGCAAGGGGTTCTTTGGGGCCTCTACATTGGCTCTCAATAGCTATCACACAAACAAATCCAAATATGGAATTCTGTTTTTGCTAAATTATTATTATTTTTTAATAATTATATCACCAAAAAACAGAAAACAACTGTGACTTTTTTTTATATATATAAAATGAGAAGACGGTTCCTTTATTAGATATAAAAAAATTGCAAGATGTGTTTTTTAAAAGGTCATGTAAGATTATTGGCTTTTGGCAGTTCTTTCTGCTCAGCTGGGATAAAAAAATGACTCTTTGAATCGTAAAGACTCCCCACCCATGTTCAGCTGTTATTTTGGACTCAACTCTTCGTACACAAACTTGGCTGCTAATTGTAAGATCAGATTATGAATGTTTTTCATTTTTCTCTCCCACACACATCCCTATTTTGTCTAAATTCAAGTCCTGTCTTCATGCCCAGGGTTTCATGCTCCTGCAAGCACAGATGTTAACTAAGCATAGCACACTTACAGTGAACTGTATAAATGTTTCACACTGTTCTCTGGATGTTGTCATCACACAACTGGCATTATGGGTACAGATTCTACCACAGGGGAGCCACAGAATAACACCTTAGACAGTATTTCTACATGACTCACAACCTGTGAGTGTGTGTTTGCGTTTGTTGAGTGTTAGCATGTAGGTAGGGTGTGAAAAACGCATAATAATTATTTAAAGGTGTGAAGCAGAGCATGGAGAAACGTTTTAATGGGATTTTTGCTTCACACCTCCGTATTTGGGAGACAACACTTAGTTTTAAAAAGTTTTAGCTGCTTCTGTTTATTACTGTTGCTGCACAGCTTGTGTGTGGAAATGAACCTCTACCAGTCCAAAAATAGAATTCCCTTCTCATCCCTACTGACTAGCATTTCTGAACAAAACTAATAAGATTCCAGAGCATTAAAGTAGAAGCGCTGATGTGATGTTTATGTGATGAAAGTGTGCTTAAGTTAAGCGCTTTGAGGCACCTTCCCTCTTTCTTTCCAAACACAGACAGGAAAAGGAAGTAGCCGAGCAGGAAATGCTGGTAAAAGATGGCAGTGGAAGTGCTTGTTTATTCCCTATTCCCCTGGTTCTGTTTGATAATCGCTTTTCTTTAGAATGCAGGCAAAATGAAAACAGCAGGGGGGCTTCTGAATGTAGGAAAATATTTTTCTTCTCCTCCTGTGAGACATAGTTTTTTTTTTCAGCTTCAGTTACTTTAAGGACTCATTGGTGAAGATGTGCAAAAACCCTTTGATTTAATGACTCTTTAACTGCAGCTGTACAATTTCAGTGGAAAACATAATGAAAACAACTTAAGAGATAGTGGTATATAATATTTTCATTTTGTTACTTATTTAAGATCCAGTATATAAAATGTTAATCTAAAATCATGAATGCATTTATTCTGTTGTTGTTGAAAAAATCAGGGCGTTTACCATTAAGGACAATATTCCTTTTATCTGCAATATTGATGAGGTCTTTGGCTACTTAAAAAGTCCTTTAACCTTATTTGTGGATAGCAGTAGATATAGTATGAAGCTGATTTTTTTTGACAGAAGGGAAGACAATAGAATAAAATAAACCCTTAAACTGCTGTCACCCCTTGTTGTTGGAATATGTTAAAACAATTACTGTTATCTACTATTAATTGACGGTTCATTAGAAGTGAGTCCATTTTGGTAGCAAGATGATTAAACGTGCCATACACAATTAGAAAAAGATAAAGAAAAGAATACTGTAGCGACATGCAGACAACCAAAATTAATTAAACAGAATAAATATGATGAAGTAAAACCAATTAATTATATGAAAACTGTAGCTTTAATACAAATTTAAAGGGAAGTGTTACAATGGAGTACTAGGCTAGTGGGTTAGAACAGTGCGCTTGTGTTCTGAGAAGGTTGCAAGTAGCCAGTTTGATCTCTACAGCCTCCACCCTGGGTTCCTGAGCAAAGACCCTCACAATGGCAGCCCACTGCTCCCCAAGGCGATGGTTGAAAATGCAGGGAACCAATTTCCCCTATTGTGGGATAATAAAGGGATTTGAATTTTTGTTTTTACATTAGGTTACGGTCATCTGAGAAATTTTGGAGAAGGACGAAAAACATAAACAGCCATACACCAGGAAAACAACAGTTAAAGGCGGTGTCTTTTGGTTTCACCTATTAAACACAATGCAGCCTTGACCCTTTTCCTCAGGCAGTTTCACCACTATTAGCATTTGACTAAACTCTTATTGCTCTTTTTGCCAATCAGCTCTCAATTGTGTTTATCCCAAACAACCCCTTTAGTCGACTGTGGGGTCAGTGACTCACGTTTCTTTAATAACAGGTTTTGTTCGAACTACGACTTCTAACCGTAAATCACACAACCTTTGATAAGAATAGAAGTCTTTAGGGACGAGAGCTGCAATTGTCCCCAAATAATAAGACATTAATTGTTTTTTTCTGTCTTGTGAATTAGATGCTGAAACAAAGATCCTTGTCTTAAACATAAATAAAGAATTTATTTATGTTTAATAAAGAAATAAACATAAATAAATTCTAGCATGTCGCCAAGAATTTCATTTAATGAGTGGTAAAATGAGAATCAGCAGAGTGTTTTTATCTTACCTTTCAGACTGTTTATTGCTTATTGTCAAAGGGAAGTATCATTTAGAGAGGAAGATCTAAAGTAATAATGATAAGCTCCCTTCCTGTGACAGACCCCTCAGGTCCCCTAATGTTTCCTCATTTGACCTTTGAACTCCGGAAGAAAGGCACAATGGATCTAAAATAACGCTTCCTCCTTCCTGCCTCTAAACTATATTTAACAGTACTTCTTTGATTTGATATTTCTTCCTTATTATTTTTCCTTTTTTTTTTTTCAAAAACAGTTCAAAAACATCATGTTGACATTTACTACCAAGTTTCCACAACAGCAGTGAGGTTACCATGAATCAGCTTTTATTCTTTACCAGACACACTAAATATTAATTTCTTTATTTTTTCTTTTTCCAGCCTTTATTGTCATTACACTGTCACAAGTAACGAAATACACTCTGTGCATTTAACCCATCCCCACTTCCCCCTCTTTGTGGTTCTGCTATTTTTTAATAATAATAATAATAATAATACATTTTATTTAAAAAGGCGCCTTTCTGGACACTCAAGGTCACCGTACAAAAACATAAAAAAGTGTCAGAAAAAAATAAAAATAATAATTATAAAGACATTTAAAAACATTTAAAAAAATACAGAGGCTGTGACAGTGAAATTGATATTTTTAAAGAGAATAATCTTGAACAGATGGGTTTTGAGTTGCATTTTAAAATGGAGAATTGAGTCCGTATTTTTTTAAACTAATCAGTAAAACCAAGCTGAAAATGCAGAGTGAAAGTGACAAATTTCCTTGTATTTGTATTTATTGTTTAATAAAGTTTTACAAACTACTTTTTTTTTTGAGTATCAATCATCATTGAATCGGGCCACACTGGTTAGTCCATGTATTACAGCTATGGCCTTTGCCTATTCTAAAGTGGTCCTGATGCCAGAAAACAAACAAACAAATAAACAAAAAAACAAAAAATTGTACAATTTTTTATATATATATATAAATAAAAATTTGTACAAATTTTTATTTATATATATACATGTAAAAAAATATATAATAAAAATATATATAAAAGAAAAAAGTGTAAATATATATATAAAAAATCAAAAAAATATATATATGAAAGAAAAATAAATATATATATAAATATTTTTTTTGTGTGTCCTGAGATTGTTGCAAGTAGCCAGTTTGATCTCCACAGCCTCTTTTTTTTATGCATAACTGCATTTTGGGTAAGTAGTCTCTTCAGAATAGAAATATCTGGCTCTGGTTTGATGAAAAAAAAAAAAAAAAAGGTCAAACGTAATATTATCTTTAAAAATGTCACTTTAATGTAGCAGTGAAAAAATCCAAATCAGGCACCAACCTCAATGATATCAGCAGCTAACTTTGGTTATTTTTATATATTCCCAACACTTTATTTCTGTTTTCCATTCTCTTTAATTTTTTATTTTTATTTTGGTGCACAGTATGCTCCTAGCAGGGGAATTTAAAACGTGCAGGTAATTTTCTTCAGATTAGGGCTGGAAAGCTCAACAAATAGTGCAAAACAGACTTTATCGATAAGCAAAACAGAAAGCAAACACTTTCAGATTTTAAACTGAGATCCAAACATTGATATATACTGTTTATTTATATACATATTTAGATAATTGTGGTGTTTTGTTTTCCCACACCCCAAGTTAAAATATGCCATTCAGCAATGTAGGACTTTGCTGTCTAGAGCAGTGAATGGATGAGTGAAACATATTAATACCCATCCAAGAATTACCTCAAAATACTGGTTTTTATACTCAGATTGCCCTAAGAGAAGTATTAATTTTGAGGACTACTTTGCCCATAGCTGTTGATATAAGAAGTGAAAATTAATAGTATTTTATAAGGTATTAGCATTATTTTTTGTATGACATTTTGGTTTCTTTTAATCTCGTGGGCGTGTCGGGCACTTTTGAAAATGTTGTTAAAGTTATACAATTTACCCCGTCTCCTCTTGGTGTTTCTGTTTGGGGCTGCATATTTTCCAAATCTGCTAAATCTCCAAGAGAGGCCCCCTTTTTTTAAGCAGGCCCAGCTGAGAGCGATTAGTTTATTACATAACACACAGGCTGTCACACACAGATGTTTCAACAGAGCAGGCAGCATAACTAAAGGTACACAGTGAGAACTTTAACCATTTTCTTAACACAACGACGCATGAATGGTGCTGCTGCCATTATAATGTGTCTTTGATCACGTGTTGACATTGGAAACACAGCTGGACAGTCTTTGTTTATGCACACACCAGACTGTATATACCATCATATGAATGTTTGTTTTAAGCCCTTTCTATCTTTTTATCTTTGTTTTGCCCTCATGAACTAAATTTCCTACGGATAGTGAATGAAATGTTAAGATGGAGCCCTCCTTACAAACTTTTCTGTCAGTATGTGTAATTTTGAAATATGCCATGTAATTTATGGCTTATTATACTCCACTGGGTATTAAAGAAAACATTTCAGCTGTAAAAGTCATTTTTATTTTGTGCATTAATCGTTCGATCTCAATAAAATCTATTACAAATATATTGTTTTTATAGAAGCGCTATTCCTCCCAGACCATCCCTATAAACAAACTGTCTAAGGAAGGAAGTCATATGACAATAGAAGAGGAAGAGAAAGTTCAATGAATGAATGAAAGAGAAAGAATTTTAGGGTTATGGAAAAAAAAAACTACTGCTGCTTTCTCTGGCAACACAAAGATTATGAGAAAACATGGATGGGAGAAAGGAGATTAGCTCAACTCACTGGTAAGGCATTTCAGAAATGTGGGGTGTGTGTAAAGCTGCTGCTGCTGCTTTAAGGAAAGTGAGTCCAGCTGCTGTCCGACAAAAGCAGCCTGTGGAAATTTAGAGATGTTATTTCTAAACAGTATATGTGTCGATGTAAGTTTTACAGACAAAAAATGGAAGATGCTCCAAGCTTTTCGTCTAACTCATGTCAGTAAGCCAGGTTGTTATCAACTTGTGTACTAAAAAGTCACTCCAGGCTTTTCTTCTAAATCCTAAGATATATCTCAAGAATTATACCTGTGGATGAGAAAATATTAGAAAAAAAAGGGGAATATTTGTAAAAAGTGTTGATTTGTTGGGTAGATCAACTTTTGACCTTGCTTTATTGGTGATACACAGACTAAAGTAAAGTTAAAGCATAGTAAAACATTGATGATTGCTTTCCTGCAGCTGACAGCTGTGCTCAATGTTTAATTACTTTACAGCTAAGAGTTTAGGAAATGACTCCTTGTGTCAACAGTGATGACATACATATAGCCACAGAATTTAATTAAGAAAACTCTCAGGAGATCAAGCATGACAATGAGACCAACCCAGATTAGAGACACAATTTAAAGTTTTTATCTTTTTAAAGAAAATGTTACTTACATATCGTCGCAGCTTCTTCTCTGGAGGTGATTTTCGTAGCCAACCATCACACACCACGTCCCCCTCTCCACTCATCCTGATGTTTTCCTGATCAATTAATCAATTAGCTGGCTCTCCACACACCAAGTCAGGTTTCAAAGCAATCAAGGGCTTTTAATTAAGATTCCTTGTAGCCAGATTCTTGGCTAAAAATGTCAATTATTTATATTTGCAAGCTTAATTCAAAGAGCTGTGATTAGTTTCCTCCATCAGGGCTTCAGTGCAGTCCAGTGTCAGAAGAGATCATCAAAAGGTTTCCAAAATGCCAGGAATACCAAGAAACTTGCTGTTCTTTTTCCAATACAATCCAGCTGCATTCATAATATCTCAGTTCATCCCTATATGGCAGAGCTGAGTGTAACTGTCGATGGCCAAGTAAGAGAATCACACCTCCTCCTGAGCCGGTTTCAACTTCCCAGCAGAGTTATTTCCCCCCTCCTCTCCCGGGTGCTTGATAACCAACACAATGCCTGAGCTCGGACATTCCTTCCCTGCTGCCTTATTTTTCCACTCCTCCTCTTCTTCCTCACTCCTCCCATTCTGTCCCTGCTCGGCTAAACAGGAAACTCCCCCTGTGGATCTGCATGCATATATGAGAAAGGGGTTTTCTTCTACTAAAACATACAATGGGTGTTTTTCACCTCCCTAAAAAGTAATAACAATAAATAAATATCAATAAAAGATTATGTACTGAAATGTTTAAGGGTTTTACAATATGCAAAAAACACCAACAGATATTTGCCACGATATCTTTGTGTTTGATTCTCTTTCTTATATAAGCTTCATGTTTTTTTAAGCAGTTCCTTCGTTCTTTATTTGGTTTCTTAAAATCATGTAATTTTCTGTTAGCTTGGTCATTTAGAGATTATTTTACATGTTCTTTTCTTTATGCTCTTGTAACTTGGTTTCTCCTTAATAGTAGTGATTTCAAAGCCTCATGATTCAATTAAGCAAGTAGACTCCAGTTTTGAAGAACCTGCTGGAGTGCGATTTTCCCTTAAATGGGTATTAGAACTAAGGTGCACATTATTTCATGGCTTGTTTGTTCCATAATAATAATGTATAAATGCATGTGGCATGTTCATGCAGCAGGGACATTATGTAAAACAACATAAACATACAGTCAGAAAAAAAGGAACATGATAATAACTAAATAAAATTAAAATTAAACATTAGGGGAGCATAAACATCTATCTATCTATCTATCTATCTATCTATCTATCTATCTATCTGTCTGTCTGTCTGTCTGTCTGTCTGTCTGTCTGTCTGTCTGTCTGTCAATAATTGTAAAAATGTATCATGATATTAAGAAGGAATAGAAGAAGAATAATAAAAAGGAATTGTGATTCAGTTAGGTATTACATAAAAAAAATAGATTATTTATTATTTTGTTTTATTTTCCCTTGAGATTTTCTCAGTTTTTTAGTTCACAAATTATGTCTTAATTTCATTTTAGACAATCTTTTTTGGTTTAAACCTTATTGTAAACATTTTTTTTTTTTTTTTTTTATAATCTGTACTCAAATTCTGAGCTTTTCAGAGTTTTAACTCCCAGTTTTGGGGTTTTGTACCTCTATTATCAGAATTTTGTTAAGAATTTAGAATCAGATTTGTCTAGTTTGCTGCACATTAGCCTAAAGTGGACAAGGTGGTTTTAAAACAGGCTCTGTTTCTTTGCTTTTATTAGCTTATTTGGACAGTGCATGGCCCTGAAATTATATTTTTAGAAAGCAGACCTTACCTGCATACAGAGAGAAGTCTGTTGCACCCTCTAGTGGCCAAATACATAAACAACTTCAGCAAATGATGATAGAACCTTTTCTAGATAACGCGTTTGAGTTTTTTTCAGAGCTATATAAGCAGGGCCAATGTAACACCAGAGTTTTTGCAGTAACTTAGAACAATCAGGAAGCTAAACAGAATCAGAATCTAATCAGAAGCTAACCTGAGAACAGAGCAAATGAAAAGGGGAATCAACATTTTTTTTTTTTTTTAAGGAGATCATCAAATAGTAGGCAAACACTCGGGTAAAGGACTGCCAACATGCTCTTTTTGAACTCAACTGATGATGCAGGATTGAATGCAGGTAAGAAGCAGCACACCTGCCTTCCAGGTCACCTTGCCCCATGAGGACACCTTGTGGAGATCTAAAAGAACAGGGAAACCCCAAATCCCTACAATCCTCTTCGTCCCTGTCCTCGTCGTTGTCATCCTAATTTCTCCTAACTCTATATCACATCACTTTACACTAACTTAAATTATTATTGTAATAATAATATTCTTTCATTAATACAACATTAATACTTGAAAAATTACAATAACAAGACAGGAAATCCATCTTGCCTAAAGCTATTAAAATCTACAAGTAATTGAAAAAAGGAATTACATCCACATTTAATTTCCCTTTTGGATTAATAAAGCATTTTTAAATTGAACTGATTAGCAACAATGATAAACATTATATACTTCTGTTAAAGCTCAAATAAAACAAAAACAGCAGGAAAGCACTAAAGACATGAAGACAGTGAGTCCTTTGCTTGTATTTCTATTGACCTGGTAGAAGTAGCTCGATATAAATGGCACAAGAAAACAGGCTGTGCATTCATTTCTAACTTTGAACACAGACTCTCCTGTTATATTTTCTTTTGTAATAAGCAAATATATGCTTTATCTGCTTAGAATATGGAATTTAATTTAATTATATTGATTAAGCAGATTAATTACTCATATAATGCTGATCGGACGGCTTGAAGTCTGGGATGTGATGATGAGCCATTTTGTATTTGCTAACCTGCTGTTACCATAATGCTCTGTCTACTGTAGCTTTGTCCCTGTCTTGACTACCTTTTGTCACGTTGACCTTTGCCCTTAAAAAAAAAAGAAAAAAAGGCATTTTCTGAATTGGCTGGAAACTTTATATGCTCCATCCTTCTCTTTCTCCTTTCTTCTGTGCATCTTTGCTAACATTCCCATTTCTTTTGTTTTGTTCTCGTATTAAGCAGGGCAGTATATATCTCCCCTTAATGTGGCTACAGTGGCTAGCCACCTGCAGGTGTGGGCAGTGGTTCTCATGATGCTGCGTTTAATTATTTGTTTGCATGTTCCCTCGCTTGCTTGCATGCACTCCATTAGACTTGTGCTTAGGGCCACCTGGAAATCGGAAGGCAAATTTATATTGATTTGCTTACAGAAAGGGATGTGGTAAAATGAATAGCAAAGCCCAAATGTGCACACACTTGTTTATTTTGTTACTAATACTAATAAACAGCTGGACAGAAATACATGTCAGAAAGCATGCAAATCATTCTTTGTAACCAATCTGATTTAAACCTCTTTATGGGGAGAAATTGTTACCTGGATTTATTTAACTTGTAACTTCAGTAATCTTGATTGAATGAAATGCCCTTTGAAGCAAGCAAGAGATAAATGAAATTTATGAATGCATTATATATATATATATATTAGGGCTGTCAAAATTATCGCGTTATTATCGCGTTAACGCGAGGCCATTTTAACGGCGATAATTTTTTTAACGTGAGATTAACGCTATGTGGTTTTATGGTACAATTTTCCAAGTACATCCCGCTGCAGCCTGCGAGAAGGCGGGGCTATTTTCCCCCAGTCTATGCATTTCTCATAGGCTTCGGGAGCGGACCTCCTCAAGGAAAAAAGACGCTCATACACTGGGTAGCGCTAGTGCCTTTTCTTTAAGCCCCACCACCAACAAACAAGTTGAGTGTCTGGTGCCTAGTAGCAACCTGAAATACGCTGAGAAAACAGATTACTGAGGTGAAATGGAATCTGCTACGGCACTCTTGCTGTCTGTGTACGCCACAGGTCAGTATTGTGTGTGTGTGTGTGTGTGTGTGTGTGTTCTCATTTTTGTTAAGAGGCTGAAAAGTAACTTTCTAGAGCATAGACTACCTCCATCTAGTGATGTCGGTCTATTGATTTTGATGTATTGATTGAAAATTGTTCATTATTATCTTGGTTAATTAACATCTAATGTTAACTCTACTACATTTTATAGCAGTAGGGTAAAATGCTTGTCTTTGTTCAAAAGACTGTATTGACTGTAAAGACTGTCTTTTACATCAGCCTGTTTTCAGGGCCTTTTTTTTTGGCTACATATTTGTTATTTTTTGCTACATGCCTCCCCATCTTCTTGCCATATGTTTCTATGGCATAAATCAGTGTCTGTGACCTGTTTTCATTTAAAAAAAAGAACATTGGCACAAACCTAGCCTGTATGTATTTTTTGTATGTCATCGAGAGTATTTAAATTATTTTCAATCAGAAAAAAAATGTGCGATTAAAATGCGATTAATCGCGAGTTAACTCAGGCATTGATGCGATTAATCGCGATTAAAAAAATTTAATCGATTGACAGCACTAATATATATATATATATGGGATAGTCTTTTTTAATACAGTAGGTATAAGCATTTACTTTGATAGCACCGTCTATGAAAGCTTGAACTAGTTTAAATGAAAGACAGTTTAACTCCTTTGTAAGCAATGCTGGTAAACAGCACATTATTTGTCAAGGACTCCGTGGTTCCTGCATACCTAAACCCTTACACGTTTTTCTCCATTGTACAAGCATAGTGTGCTGCCTATTTACAAGACCAAGCTCCTTCATTGCTATGGCGATTGAAATCAACATCATCCTCGTTCTTATTCTTCTATTCTTCATTCCATACCAGGGATTTCAGCATTCACTGCAGAAGCATTCAACATCCACAATAACAAAAGTTAGTCACTCTTACTGCCTTTCCTACCAAATGGTCACCATGGAGCTGATCGGTCCCTTGGCTACAGACTAAACTTAGCTGGTTCAAGCAAAAGGGGAATCATCTCCCACTCGGTTTGTGCAGACATCCTGACATGTGTGTAGCACTACCTGGGTGTTGTTCATTGTGTGTCAAAGACTTAACAATGAAAATTGGAATCAGAAACATTAGCACTGGCTGTAGTTGGCTATGTAGCTGGCTTAACAATAATTTTCTGCAGTTTTTGTTTGGTTAGTTCCTGTCGTGCTTGACCAGGTAAACAAGGTAAGGGTAGGGAAAAACAAAACCAAATAAAGCAGAGAGAAATATGCCTATTACTGGCGGAATTAGTTATCAGGTTGGCTTGAAAGTACATTTTATATCAGGAAAAAGGATTGTATCTGAAAAGCTATGTTTGTTTGCTTTAAGTTTCCCTACACTGTGGTTTTACCATTTCTGTTCATGCACAGAGGAGGATAATCTACCGAATGTAAAATCTAGCGGAAGACTGGTTTTCTGATTTATTTAACGAATTGTTTTAACTGACCTCAACTTTAACTGTATTAAGTTAAAATACAAAATTGTATTGTTTTCTAAAATCTACTCACACACATATTATTTGTAAACCTTATTTTCCTTGGAAATCAGTTTTGAAAAGTCATTGTTTTGAAACTCTCTCTGTACAAATACAATAATTTTTA